TACTGATTACTGGGATCATAGCTGGTCCTCAATGGATAAAAATTATTTTGGTAAGGAATGAAATCAATGATGTTCAATCACAGTGAACTACAGAGATCAGGTGGGGTGGCGGGGTACTGACCTCTCTGAGGACCTGAAAAAGCACATTCAGTAATACCTATTGCCTCCACTATATCAACCACAGAAAGAAAACTTTACACTCCATTTTACAAACCTTAAAAACTTCAATAAATCCCCCAGAAATGTCTACTGTACCTCTCTAAAAATGAGTCCATTTTCGATGTATGGAGGGAGGAGGAAAACTTGCAATAATCTACATACCAACATATTTTACTATCTTACAACCTTACACAAATTTTGTTATTTAAACATTACCAACAGCTAATATTATATAAGGACCTGACAACATTATGTGTTACATACTAGGTTAACAGCCAAAAGGTCAGTGGTCTGGTTCTATGAGTTGCTCCAAGGAAAATACTGGGCAATCTCCTCCTATAAAGATTTCAAGTCTCAAAACCAGATACAGGATTACCAAGAGTCGTAATTAGCTTGATGGCAAATAGGTTGGGGGTCTTTTCTTCTTGTTGTTGTTATTCACTTATTTTTTTTATAATTATATATTTTCTTAATAAACAAAAGAAAAATTCCATCTCTTCTTATCATGTTAAGTAAGTGAATTGTTGTTTTCAACACAGTATTGATCTATCTAGATGGAAGTGAATTGTTTGTATTTGCTAAATAATTTGGTAACAGCAAGTAGAACAGAAAAAGCTGGATAAATAGAATGCTATGTTCTACAATTTTAAAATGATGTTTTTATTGCGCTATTGAGTTGGAACTGAACCTCCTTATAGCTGAACCTCCAGTAGATTTTCAGAGGCAGCAAATCACATGAGAGGAGAATGCCCCTCTGCCATGAAGCTGCTGGTAGATTCAACTTTACTACTTTACACTGGCAACCTAATTTCTTACCACTAAGCTACAATATTTAAATGTTTTATTATAAAAATGTCAATTTATTTCATTAACTGCAGACATATTGGTGGTGAAAAAAAGTCTTACCATATCAATGATAAGCGTCTTAGTGGAGACTGCAGACAATGAGGCTTTCATCAGTATTTCTCATAATGGACTAAAAAACAACATCTAAATTATACCTTGCCATTAGAACTTTAATTGTACCTTAATAGATTTAAAACTCAGTATCTCCACACTGTTTAAGCAAACCACAATACCATCTGCTTCACTTAGACCTTTTAAGTGCCATATTTTGTTGCAAATAGTGCATCCATGTAAATAATTTGCATATATGGGCAGAAATAAAGAAATTGTGTCAAAGCGTTCTAGTGTTCTGTGCTCGTGCATAAACCGAGCACTTCTCACAACATGTCTAGAAGTAAATTTTGGCCTAATTCACTCTCATTCAGTAGTTCAAAAAATGTTACTCTTGACCATATTTGTATAATAAAGACATAAGTGATAGTCAAGAGGCGATAAATTAAAAACCAACACCAACAGGAAGCCATAGAATGGATTTCATTGCTGTTGTTAGATGCCTCTGAGCTGCCTATGACTCTTAGCAACTCTATGAGTAACAGATCTGAACCTTGCCCTGTCCTGTGCCATCTTCACCATCTCTGAGTTTAGCAGTACATCAAGAAATGAAAAATAAACAGTGGAAACTGCATTTGTTCTGGGGAAAGTCAAGGTCAGAACTCAGAGCAGTGGAGTTCCTGTACCAGCTCTGTCCCCAGGTAGGCATACCAGAGAGAGGCGGAGAGCTGGACAGAGGACTTTGTGTGAGGCTGTCACAGCCCAAGCAAGAACTAGTGGAGCAACAGCACCTGGTTTCTACATTTCCAGTGCATCCACGTGCAAGTGGGAGGTAGGACAGTGCACGTGTGGGTGCACACTGCTTTGGATCTATGCGGTCCTGGGTGGCCAGATGGACCCATCTTACACGAGAAACAGACAGGTGACTCCTCTAAGCGTGCACCTCTCACATTTTACCTGTGGTGTCTGCACCTGCAGGTGATGGAGATTCAAACAGCCTGAGTGTGGCTGGCAGCCAGCCCAGCCAGCCAGCCAGCCAGCCAGCCAGGCCGAATGTACACGCATGCAGAGCATGGCCTTGCTCACCTGAGCAGCCTCTCTATCCTGGGGTGTGCACATCTGCGCACTTCCTACACTGGAGCTGGCTGCTCTGGTGAGGGTCATTTCTTAAACAGGAAAAAAAAATGTCTCCCTGCACCAGAGAAACCAATCTGCAGAGTGGGAAGGGCCTCCTACCAAGAGAAGGGGCTGCTTTAGAACCCTGAGGGCAGGTTGGGGAGGGTCTGCTGCTGATAATCAAACCTCCACGTCAATAGGAACCAAGGAGAAAGAGGTGACAGTAAGCCCACTGGACAGAAAAACCCTGAAATCCAAGTCAACAATAAGGAAAAAAATCTATCAAGGACAAAGTGTCCAGTCTGCATGGCTGGTTAAAAAAACTCTAAGATACACATCACTTATGTAAAAACATGGTACATTCAGTAGATTTGAGAAGGAAAATATTCCGCATGCCAGAATTAAGAAGGGGGGGGCGGAGAATTTCCTTCTTTCTGTAGGTGGGAAGAAATGAAAGTATAAAAGGACCTCAAAGAGTCCATGGCATTTTGAAATAATTATTTTCAGATCATTTAAGAGATTAAATAGTCCAACCAAAGTTTTATGTAAGGTAATATAGAATTGCAAGTTGGCATTAAACTGCCTGACACTGTGAAATCTAATTTTCTACCCCTACAAGTATGGGAAGAAAAGAAAAGTGTGCTTTCTCATAATTTGAAAGGTTAGAACGTCATTACACTTATGAATCACCTGAACAACAGATACATATTGAGGGGCCCACTAAGTATAGAGAACGGTAAAACATTTAATGATATTCCAGAAACAAGATGGACTAATTCTAAAAATATATCATGAAAAATGAGAAGGGTAAATAATCTCAAGTTATTAAACGGAATTAGAGAAAATATGAACAGTTCTAATTAAACGTGAAGAAAAAAGGTTAATACCATCACAAAGTCTGATAAACTTCTAAATAAAATGACATTATTTTCAAAAAAAGATAACTTTTATAGAGAAAAGAAATGTTTGTTGTAAAAAAAAAAAAGGAATACTTGAGAAAGAAACATTATTTATTTATTTCCCAAAGATAATGTTGGCTTAATTTGTTGTCAGAAAATGCTGCAATTAATACACGGCTTCTGAAGCAAATGCTTATACATTTTCATTGTATATCGCTTTTCGTGAGGAAACATTCAAAGTAAACCAACTTTCATGCTATAATATTTCTTTTCGGTGCCATAGTTAAGACATTTCTGAGCCAGGATTACCTGCCAAATGTTGTTATGTGCGGCTGAGTGAGGACCAACTCTTAGCTGACCTTCCAGTTGGCTTTATAGGGTGGAACCGCACAGGAGTCTGCCCAACGTCTCCCATAGAGTGGTTAGTGGATTCGAACTGCCTGCCTTTGGGTTAGCAGCACAATTCCTTACCCCTAGCCCATCAGGACTCCCTACCACATGTTGTTGTTGTGGTTGTTATGTGCCACTGAGTCACCGGTGACTCATAGCCACCCTAGGTACCAAATACAGAACCCAAAAATATTTAATTTTGTATACATAAAGCCATGATAAATCACAGCCAACTAGACAGAAACTGAAAACAAAAATACTATTCTTGTGCTAGGAATATGAACAAAATGAACTAAAACCTCTGCCAGCATGGAATTTACGTTCTAGGTGAGATTAATGTTAAGCAAGAAAAAAGATCAAAAGTCTAGTGTTTATACTTTATTGGTCTATTGCTGTATCAATTAATGCTACAGGATACTATCTGAATAAAATTATAACAAGAGAAAATCCATTGGTATTCAGATAAGCTGCTTTGGTCAAGTTCTATGGTAAATTTGTCTAAAAAGAACTGTCATGATAAAGAACCAAAATCAGCAACTTTCTTCTATACTGGGTCAGATGTACATATTTTGGGCTGTGTAGACAACCTATTAAATCAATAAACAACATCAAAGTGAAAAAAAAAAGAAACTATTACTGATTTCATTCTATTTGTACCAACAATCATTGCTCACAGAAGTAGCAGTTAGTAAAAGTAAACATCACATTTCATTGGTATTGGGATCTTAAAAAGAAAAGATGTCATTTTGATAACTAAGGTGTACCTCATCCAAGATGTGGTATATACAATCACTTCAACAATGAAAACTGACACATCTGAATTGTGGCGCTGAACAAACAAATGCATCTCAGAAGAAATATAATCACATTGATCCTCAAAAGTGAATGCACTTCATTGGACCCATCAAATAACAATAAGAAAAGGACATCAGGTTCAGTAAAGGGAAGGCTAATAAAAACAAAGGATACCCACAATAAGAGAGTGGGACAGAGAAGCCAAAACAATGAACTCTAAAATGCCAACAGTCATAGCAATTACACAGGACCAAGCAACATTTCATTCATAAGACCACCATGAGGCTGGAACCACCAGCACGACACGTCATCTACAAACTAGGGAGCAATTTTTAAAACAACTTTTAAAAGCATATTCTTATCTCACAGTCCATACAAAAACAGGACAAGGACCAAATGTTGCTTGGGGGCCAAATGAAGCAATTCCTGACAAAAAGATTTGATAGTTGCACTCAGGTAACTTAGTTTGGTCCTATGTTTCATGCGTCTTCACTTTTAAACAATATTTCATTCCTTTAGATTTTTCATTTACTAATCTAAGAAAACATTCCTTTCTGGAGCTACAGTCCTTCCAACCACACCAACCTCAAAGTCGGCTTTAGAAAGCAAAGCTGCCGGCTCCAGGTTGCACTAGTGACAGAAAACCCGTCTTACACAGTATCAGGAAGAGAAAAATGGTGACGACCGTGCATGCTCCCACCTACTTAACGGAGGGAGACACGTCCATGTCCAGCTTCCTCTTACCTTGCTGGAGGAACATCAATATTTGAAGAAACAACTTTTCGTTTTTGCTCAAGGAGACAGACGGAGCGAGTGTTTTCTTTGTCATGGTCAAGGACTCGGCTGAGTTTTTTGGTGTCTGCTGTTTTCACCTCTTCCTCCATGGCCAAGGGGAACAAAGGCTGATGAGTTGTTTTTTTACCACAGTCACGTTTTAAGTCCTCAGAATGAAATGTGAAGGCCATGTCCCGCTTAATGCTCCCAACCTATAAAAGAAATAAAAAGTAACCAATTCTTGCTCCTAGAAAACACTGACTTAGCTATGTGGAAAGACCACGGATGCCATCTCCCACTTATTCCCTTAAAGATTTTTCTCATCTAAATGTGGAAAATTTAACACAAAAATCAAATAACTAACATCCCAAAGTAATATACAATGTGGTGCATCTGTCATAATACAAAAAAGCACCACAGACACAAAAGACCCTTCAGTTGTACAAAGATATTGAAGACTTGAAAAAGCATAAAGCCTTTAAAAATAATAAAAATGTTAAAAATATTTGCTTTCTCCTCTAGAAATGTTGTTTTGTGCTGTAGAGTCAGAACAGACCCACAGCTGACCCTCCGGTGGGTTTTCAAAGCCAGTTAATAGCATGGGAGGAGATTGCCCATCCTTCTTCTGTGGGGTAGCTGGTGGCCTCTAACCATGTCCCTCTGGGATTGCAGTGCAGCCTCTTGCTACTAGGCCACCAGAGCTCCTTTAGAAATGAGAAAACTTAACTAAGCAAACTCTTATATTTTCCATGTAGATTACTCACAGAAGCAGCAGTCAGGAAATCAAACATCACATTTCCTTGGTAAACCCACTGTAAAAAGACTTTATTGAAATCTTAAAAAGATGTCATTTTGATGATTAAGGTGTACCTCATGCAAGACGTGGTATACCCAATCACCTCAACAATGAAAATGTAAATAAAATAAGAGAGTTCAAAGAAAGATTCTATATAAAACCAGTCATAACTTGGCTATTAATCCAGAGCATAGCCATAATCTGTCCCATTCAGGAGGAATCGGGTTGTGTTTTTTTTAACCCATTATATACCTTAAGGACCTCTCTACAGCTGTACGATAAGAAAGCCACGTTGATATTCTTAATTTTTAACCAAATACAATGATGATGGTTTAAGACAAAGGAAATTTAAATCTCTCAAATCAAATCCTGTTACTTCAGCATTTATGGTAATTGAAAGAGGAAATAAAACCAGTATTTCTGGATGATAAATGCTGTTTGGCTCCACGGAGCTGGTTTGGACTCAGATTCTCTGTATGACAGAAAAAAGCGCTGCATGGTCCTGCTCCGCCCTCACAAGCAGGGCTGTGCTTTCGCCGACTGTTGTAGCCACTGCACCATCTCACTGAGGATTTTCCTCCGACTTCACTAAGCATGATGTTCTTCTCTAGGAACTTGATCCTTTTGACAACGTATCTAACTTATGTGAGACAAAATCTTGATACCCGTGCTTCTCAGTGACATTCTGCCTGAATTTCTTTCAAGACAGAAATGTTTGTTCTTCAAAACAGTCCATTATATATTCAGTATTCTTCCTAAACATCAAAGGAATCATTTTTTAAAAGAAATAAATTTTTTATTCTATACCGGTTTACTTACAAAGTTTGTACATTGTTTTTCACACTGGATCTTTCCCATTTTCTTTACCAACATCTCCCTCCACCCATCAAATTGTGTGGTCCTATGATCAACCTCCCCACCCCTCCTGCCCATTGTCACCCCTCTGCTCCCCCTTCCCCCTTTGAATCCTCATACATGTCCTACAATAATGGTCTTACACATTATTTGTCTTTATGGGGCTGAGTTAGTTCACTTACTAATAATGCTCTCCAGTCTGTCCCAACTCAGAAGTTGGGTAGTGACTTAAAAAAAAAAATCATTGTTCCTGAGTGCTGTGTAGTATTCCATCGTGTAAATGTACCATAATTTCTCAATCCATTTGATTGTGGTTTGACATCTGGGCTACTTCTATATTCTTGCGATGGTGAATAATGCTGCTATGAACATTCATTAATGTTCACATCTCTCAGTTCTCATTTTCTTAGGGTACATTCCAGGCAGTGGGATAGCTAGGTCATAAGTAATTTCTATGTAGAAGGAATCAATTTTTGCATTTTCTTATTCACAGTCTAGTTTATGCACGCACATGAGAAGAGACCAGGGTTAGTCCTCCAGTTACTATTTCTGCTTTTGAACACTTTACGTTAGATTCACCCACTGCAGTCAGTCAGTTGGGTTTTGATTGCTGCTTCCATGTGCAATGATCTCAATACCAAGGGAAATGAAGTCCGTAACTACTTCAATCTCTTTTCCACCTATCATTTTACTTGTTGGTTCAGTTCTTTCGTTGTTTTCTTTGTTCTTTCTTTCAGTTGTTTCTTTGTTTTTAAGCACTGAAGGCTTTGATCTTTATCGGGAAGTGCTTCAAATCTTCATTTTCCCCAAGCAAGGTTCTACCATTTGCATATCACATGTTGTCAATGATTCACCGACCCTGAAGCCATGTTCTATTTTAGAAGATGTATCTTTTGAATTATTTGCTCAGCATTAAGTTACATTGAGTTAGTGTGGCTAAAGACTACAACCCTGGCAGACATATTTTCTGGTTTTAAACCACACAGTGTTCCCCTTGTTCTGTTTGAGCCACTTGGTCTGTCTGAAACATCTTGGTCTGTGTAAAAGTTCTTCATGAACATTGAGAGTTCTGAAATTCCTATTACACACAAAGTCATCTGTCATGTTTGAAAGTGAACTGTCTTTGCATAGCTCATACAGCACTGCAAAACAACTTTCTGGCATTCTCTGCTGTTAGCCACGATTCATCTGACATCAGCAATGATATCCCTCATTCCATATCCTCTTCTGAATCTGGCATGCATCCTGTCAATAGACTGCTATGACCAATGCTTAATTCTCTTCAGTAATATTTAACTTGGGTGTGATATTAATGATACTAGCCACTAATTTCTCCATTCTCTTAGAAAACATTTCGTCAGCATGGGCATAAACATAGATCTTTCTCAGGAAGACAGACAGTCGTACAACTATCTTCCAGATTGCTTGCTATAATAAACAAGTGAGCACCTCCAGAGCCGCATTTCTCTGTTGAAACATTTAAACTAATAAACTATCATTTCTGGAGGCTTGTTTCTCTCCACTTCTTTGACTTCTTCCTACCGTCTGTACTTGATCATATGCTACTCCCCAAAATGGCTAAACATCAATCAATTCTTTTTGCCATGGCGGCTCTGCATATTGATTCTCTCCACATTCCCTTGATGCTTACAGCATCATTCAATATTTTGCTCATAGAATCCTTCACTTTTGCAACTCCAAGTTTTAATTCTTTTTCTTCACTTCTTTCAGTGTGAGAAATGCCGAGTGTTTGTCTCTTTTGGTTTTCTAACGCCTTCTGTTTGCACATTCCTAATGATACTTTACTGCTCAAGATGCCCTCTGAAATCTTGTAACCAGCCCACTTCATCGTTTCTTCATTTAGCTTTTTTTTAAAAAATTTTTTTAAAATTTTTATTGTATTATTTTTTACATGTACCGTCAAATCAGATCTGACTGGTACAGGAGGAGATTGCCCCCTCCTTCTCCAGCAGAGCATCTGGTGAATTTGAACTGTGTACTTCTGGGATTGCAGTGCAGCATCTTGCCACTAAGCCACCGGAGCTCCCTTGCTTCTTTAGTTTCTACAGCAAGTTTCGGAGCCTCCTCTGACATGATGGTCTTTTCTGCTTTCCTAAATGACCTTTTGCTTTCTTTATGCAAGATATTATCCTAATACTCATCTCTTGAAATTTTTTCCCCTAAAACTTCTGTCACTCTATCACTGGTGTCCAGTACATCAAACATACTCTTCAGATGGTCTCTAAATTTAGGTGTGATATTACTCAAGGACGGGAGCTCTTGGCTTAGAGATAGAAAGTTGTTCTACCAACTGAAAGGAATGCAGTTTTAATCCCCCAGCTGCTCCTGGGGGGTGGGAAGGGAAGATGTGTCTCCTCTTGTGCAATTTACTACCTCTGAAAATCCACTGGGAGGGTCAAGTTCAACTAGATGGTACATAACAACACAACAGCACAGTAGACCATATGATTTTCTAATTCAAAATGACCAAGAGGCATTTCAGCTTTAGTAACAACTAGGAGATGGATCTTTATTGCATTTCATTATATTTTTTTACCACTTTCAATTGTTCTAGATTCATACTTCATATAGTTAATCCACATATATTTGCACTCCATATAACCCATATTCAAATTATTAACGAACATTTACACCTCTCCCCACTTTGAGTGGGAATGTATCAGGAGATGAAGGTGTCTCATTTTCTAAAAACTTTATCTGTCACTAAGGTAAACATTTTTTTGAGGAGGCAGCTTTTCTCCTATTGCATTTTAAGTACTTTCCACAGGGAGGGCCTGTCTTCCAGCATGAGAGCAGTCAATGTTTTACTGTTGATATACATAAAATCTTGAATCCTCTGGAAGGATACTGTAAATGAAGTATGGAGAAAACAATTCAAAGCACTAAGCATTTAAAGAAGTATCAGTCTATCTGGTAACTAATAGCAGCTGCAATATGGTCTGTCAGCATTTCATTCTGCTGAATGGGACAGGGCTCTTAGTTGAAGTTGAATCCTATATTACGACACCTAACAACAGCATCAGAGAAAGTCTAGCGATGTTCATCAGTGGCACGCATCTCAAAATGCACTTATGAGACATTTCACATTTCTATAATACAGTCCATCCCCTTTTGTGGAGTCAGGTTGTTAAGTTAACAAATTATTTTAATCTGTTTTCATTTTAGGTCAGAAAAAAAATCACAGGGAAGAACAAACAGGTCTTGGAGAAGGTGCAGCCAGCATGTTCCTTGGAGGTAAAGATGATGAAGCTTCTTTGTGCGTACTTTGGGTTTGTTGCTAGGAGAGGTTATTCCTTGAAGAAGACATCATACTTGGACAGATGGAGGGATGGCAAAGGGAAGGCAGATGCTCAGCTAGGTTGATTGGTACAGTGAATGCAGCAAGGGCTTGAGTCTGTCTGAGATTGTGAGGATGGCACAGGGTAGGACAAGGTTGAGATCTGTTGTTCATACCGTCCTTATGAGCATCTAACAACAACATAAATAACCAAGACATAGCATTTTGATCTTGGCTGTCCATGGGATATTGAATAT